TGAAGTTTAGCTTACATTTTTGTGCACTTTTATAAAATAAATCATTCTACTACTGAAATTTTTGATTTATTACCTACATTAACAAGTCAAGGGGTCCAAGTGCAGTGGTTCAAGGGATCCAAGTACAGCCTATAAAACCTTGATGTAACTATGGTAATAAAAATACCTTTGAACAAAAAAATAACTATTTTTGTTCACTTAAAATGCATAGTTAAATACTTCTAAGATGGAAACTAATACTCAAAATTAACATATATTTTGAACCTACCTAAATATATTTTTTTGAACTTTGACTTCAATTATCTCGAAAAGTGGTTTTTGGTACTTGGATCCCTTGGCTTTTAGGGTCCTCCTATTTAAGTGTGCATTAAATGTCTGTCTTCCACTATCCTTAAACAATGTACATTGAAATTAAAAAATATATTACAAAAAAATAATGAAAAAAAAACTATATAGTTACTAGTGGTGTACAAAATGTCCAATACAGGATGTAGATGTGGGAGTATGTGGAATATAATTCTGGTTTACCAGGGATAAAGAGGCTTCTCTAACATAAAATGCCTTCATCTGTATGCAAAAATGTGTGAAAATATATGAAGTTCTAATTGATGCACATAATTCTGGATGATCACAACTGAAGAGGTTTGCCCATTAAAGGACGTATATGTGGGAGTAAAGGGCATATAAGTTTAGTCAACCAAGGACGAAGAGGCTTGTCCGTTACACGATGTAGTTATGATATATCGGCACTTATAATTTTTGTTACCCAAGAATGTAGGAAGAGGCATGTCCATCACAGAATACAGATGAAGGTCTATTCGGTGCACATAATTCTGGTTGACTGCATCTGAAGAGGTAAGTTCATTACTGGATTTAGATGTGGGCGAACATGGCATATAATTCTGGTTGACCAAGGATGAAGAGGCTTGTCCATTACAGGAAGTAGATGTGGGAGTATGGGGCATATAACTCTGGTTGACCAAGGATTAAGAGGCTTCTCCATTGGAGGATGTAGATGTGGGAGAATGGGGCATATAATTCTGGTTGACTAAGAATGAAGAGGCTTGTCCATTACAGGGTGTAGATGTGGGAGTATGGGGCATATAATTCTGTTGTACTAGGGATGAAGAGGCTTGTACATAACAGGGTGTAGATGTGGGAGTGTGCGGCATATAATTATGGTCGGCCAAGGATGAAGAGGCTTGTCCATTACAGGTTGTAGAGTTGGGGGTATGGGGCATATAATTATGGTTGACCATGACTAAAAAGGCAGGTTTGTCACAGGGTGTAGATGAAAGTCTATTTAGGCACATAAATCTGGTTGGCAAAAGATGTAGATACATGTCCATCCCAGGATAAAGATGTAAGAGAATGGGGCACATAATTTTGGTTGATCAAGGATGAAAAGGCATGTCCATAACAGGATGTAGATGTGGGAGTATGGGGCATATAATTCTGTTTGGCCGAGGATGAAGAGGCTTGTCCATTACAGGTTGCAGAAATCTGGAGTGTTGTAGATGTGGGAGAATGGGGCATATAATTATGTTTTACTAAGGATGAAGAGGCTTGTCCATCACAGCGTGTAGATGTAGGAATATGGGGCATATAATTCTGGTTGGCCAAGGATGAAGAGGCTTATCTATTACAGGTTGCAGAGTTCTGGAGGATGTAGATGTGGGAGAATGGGGCATGTAATTATGGTTGACTAAGAATGAAGAGGCTTGTCCATTACAGGGTGTAGATGTGGGAGTGTGTGGCATAAAATTCTGGTTAGCCAAGGATGAAGAGGCTGAAGATGCTTGTCCATTACAGGGTGTAGATGTGGGAGTGTGGGGCAGAAAGCTCTGGTTGGCCAAGGATGAAGAGGCTTGTCCATTACAGGTTGTAGAGTTGGGGGTATGGGGCATATAATTATGGTTGACCATGACTAAAAAGGCAGGTTTGTCACAGGGTGTAGATGAAAGTCTATTTAGGCACATAAATCTGGTTGGCAAAAGATGTAGATACATGTCCATCCCAGGATAAAGATGTAAGAGGATGGGGCACATCATTTTGGTTGATCAAGGATGAAAAGGCATGTCCATAACAGGACGTAGATGTGGGAGTATGGGGCATATAATTCTGTTTGGCCAAGGATGAAGAGGCTTGTCCATTACAGGTTGCAGAGTTCTGGAGGGTTGTAGATGTGGGAGAATGGGGCATATAATTTTGGTTTACTAAGAATGAAGAGGCTTGTCCATTACAGCATGTAGATGTAGAAATATGGGGCATATAATTCTGGTTGGCCAAGGGTGAAGAGGCTTATCCATTAAAGGACGTCGTTGTAGGTCTATTTCATGCACATAATTCTGGTTTAACTCGACTGAAGAGGCTTGTCCACCACAGGTTGTAAATGTGGTATTATGGGACATATAGTTCCTGCTGACCAAGGAAGTAGAGATTTGTCCATAACAGAACGTAGATGTAGGTTTATTTGATGGACTTAATTCCAGTTGACCATAATTGAATAGGTTTGTCCATCACAGGCTTCAGATGTAGGAGAATAGGGCATATAATTCTGGTTGACCAAGGACGAAGAGGCTTTTCCATTACAGGAGGTAGATGTGTGAGTATGGGGTATATAATTCTGAATGACCAAGGATGAAGGGGCTTGTCCATTACAGGACGTAGTTTTGAGAGTATGTGGTATATAAATCTGGTTTACCAAGGATGAAGAGGATTGTCCATTACAGGATGTAGATGTGGGAGTATGGGGAATATAATTCTGGTAGACCAAGGATGAAGAGGCTTGTCCATTACTGGAGGTAGATGTGGGAGTATAAGGTATATAATTCTGGTTGACCAAGGATGAAGAGGCTTCTCCATTACAGGAGGTAGATGTGGGAGTATGGGGTGTATAATTCTTGATGACCATGGATGAAGAGGCTTGTCCATTACAGGACACAGTTTTGAGAGTTGGGGTATATAATTCTGGTTTACCAATAATGAAGAGGCTTGTCTAATACAGTATGTAGATGTGGGAGTATGGGGCATATAATTCTGGTTGACCAAGGATGAAGAGGATTGTCCATTACAGGTTGCAGATAAGGGAGTGTCAGGCATATAATTCTGGTTGACTACAATTAAAAGGCTTGACCATCAGAGGTTTCAGATGTGGGGGTATAAGGCATATAATTTTTGTAAGCCAAGGATGTAAATACAAGTCCATCCCGGGATTTAGATGTGGGGATATTGGGCATATAATTCTGGTTGACCACGACATAAAAGGCAGGTTTATCACAGGGTGTAGATGAAAGTCTATTAATTAGGCATATTAATCTGGTTGGCAAAAGATGTAGATACATGTCCATCCCAGGATATATGTCCCAGGAGAGTATGGGGCACATAATTCTGGTTAATCAAGGATGGAGAGGCTTGTCCATTACAGGATATAGATGTGGGAGTATGGGGCATATAATTCTGGTTGGCCAAGGATGAAGAGGCTTGTCTATTACAGGTTGCAGAGTTCTGGAGGATGTAGATGTGGGAGAATGGGGCATATAATTATGGTTTACTAAGGATGAAGAGGCTTGTCCATTACAGTGTGTAGATGTAGGAATATGGGGCATATAATTGTGGTTGACCCAGGATGTAGAGGCATGTCCATTACAGGATGTAGTTGAAGTTCTATTTCATTTGATGCACATAATTCTGGTTGACCACTACTGAAGAGTCTTGTCCATTACAGGATGTAGATGTTGGAGAATAGAGCATAATGTTCTGGTTGACCAAGGATGAAGAGGCTTGTTCATCACAGAATATTGATGAAGGTATATTTGATGCACATAATTCTGGTTGAGTGCAACCAAAGAAGTTAGTGCATTGCAGGTTCTAGATGTGGGAGAATAGGGCATATAATTCTGGTTGACTAAGAATTAAGAGGCTTGTCCATTACAGGATGTAGATGTTGGAATATGGGGCATATAGTTCTGGTTGACCAAGGATGTATTGTAAAGGCATGTCCATAACAGAACGTAGATGTAGGTTTATTCGATGGACCTAACTCTTGTTGACCATAACTGAAGAGGTTGTCCATCACAGGGTCTAGATGTGGGAGTATGGGGCATATAATGGTGGTTGCACAAGGATGAACAGGCTTGTACATAACAGGATGTAGATGTGGGTCTATTTGAGGCACATAATTCTAGTTGACCACGACTGAAAATGCTTTCCATCATAGGCTGCAGATGTGGTAGTATAGGGCATGTAATTCTGGTTGACCACGAATGAAGAGGCTTGACCATCAAACAGGCATTGAGGCATCCATCAAGTCTTAAATCACTCTTGTGCACTTATCAAGTTTTTACAGAGGGTCTCTTGGACAAAATGCCTAGTTCTTCCTCTCTGGAAACCCTTTTTCACAGCTCCAAATAACCCATTTACTTTTTTACCTTTTATTGTTTCTTTATTGTAATTTTCCAATTTAATGTAAAACGTGTGATAAGAATTAACGTTACAAAATAAAAATCACCTTGTTCTTAAAGTGTTGTATAAAAGTAAATTTAGGTTAGAGAAATATTAAAAAATTTATTTAATTTATAAGTGGCCTCAGAAACCTTGTTAGGGTTGGAAACAGTATTCATCACAGGCCAAGGTATATTAAGTATATGAAAAAGATAAATATTACTCTATGTACTATTGTCAAAGAGAAATAAAATGTTGAACAGGCACAATTTTAAGAACCCTTCTGAAGGTTTGTTCCTAGATATTTCATGAATTAGGCATCAATAAAAAAAATAATTCCTTATGCCAGATTTTCCTACACATGGACACAGGAACATTTTTTAATTTGATCAATATAAATCCCCAAATTAGTGTGGGCGATAGTTTTGCTGTGGTCATAAAAAAATCCATCTACATATTAGCAAGCACTGATAAAAAATTTTGTAAACATTACTGTGAAAGATGAATTAGGTAGAGGTAAGGGAAAAGAAAACTAGTTTGTAGCCTATTACAAATTTTATTGCTTCACTTAAAACAATGCATCGACAATAAAAAGTTTAAGGCACTATCATTTTCATAGATAAAAAATTAGATTTTTTCCAAAAATTCTTCTTAGCAAGAGTATACACAACTGATATATACACAAATAATTTACATCAATCCTAATCAGCTAATTAAAAAAATCCTTGAAAAATGATTTTGTTGCATAGCATTTCTATGATGAAAAAACAACTGGAAACAAAGCAAAATATGTTCTATCATTTTGATGGTTCAACGATATTAAGTAGGAAATTAAACACCGCCTGGTGTTTATTAGGAGACAAGCTTTGTTGGTTATGAGTCTTGACTGACTGTATAGGGTTCTTGTCTTGGTAACTGCACAACATACTGCGACTGACCTGATGATGCCAACATATGACATTAAGGAGATCATCTGGAAACAAAACAAAATATACCTTAGACTAACATGGAGAGTGGAACTTTACAAAGAAATAATCATTAGAAACTGACGCAAGGAATAGGTTACAAATATTGAATAGGTTTATTATCTCAGCCACTCAGTATTCTAGTTGACAACCCATTTTCAACCTCCAAACGTTATCACCATCATGTAGAGTAATCTTAGATTTTAGGTATGAATTAAGCATTACACAATGGAAACTTTTTCATCAATGCATTCCATACTGTGCCATAGCTAAATTAAATGTTTAGGTGAAGTTTTTAAAACACAATGTGGATTCAAAACCAAATTGATTCCCCACGCGTGGTTTTACCATACACTACCACATGTAATACTTCTCTTTAAAATCGGAATACAAGTTGTGTCGTATTGTGATGAAAACATACAACCTAACAGCATCTTTGTGTTGCATCCTCTGCTCTTGTCATCTGCTAAAAATGATCAACACTCTTTGTTTATTTAGTATCTTGTCAAACATACAACATGATGTGTACCAATATGACTTTGACAATGTCCTATTGGTCCTACGACATTAAAGAATTAGCAACAGTTATCCCCAGTTATCTAGTCTTATTGAAAAACTCGTTGGCTTTATGTGCTAAGTATTTTGCCGAATTTACAATCATTAAAACAAAAACATAATCTATGGTTTTATAGAAACAGTGACAAGATACAATGATACATAAATTTGGGAGGAAGGTGAATGTACATACAAGTAGAAATCCGGAAAATATGGAATGGAATGATCTTTAAACTAACCAAGAAGAACATGAGTTGAACAATGAATAGTGCTTCAATAGCTGTTACAAAATAGTGTCATTATCAAGTTTCAAGTAAAGCTACTTATATTTATGAAAAGGGTAAAAGTGTAAAGAAAAAAAGAAAAAAGGTAACTCTGACTTTGACTCTCATATATTTAAATATTATATTTAAATATATTTACTCCTTGCAATGCTCTTTAATGAATTCTTTACAAATGTTGGTTGCCCCTAGGTTGGAAGAACTCTAGAAAATAAAAATATCAGACAGAGCTTTTTGGCAGTGGAAGCTTGATGTTATTGAAAAATATGAGTGGACCCTGCAAAATATAAATATTCCCCAAAGGTCCTTAGGGGACGCCCCTGGCACTGTTTGTAGTTCTTCCAAAAAAGTAATACCTTTAATGAGATCAATTTACCAGTCTTAATTCTACACTGAATTTACTTGCTCACTACTACACTAGTGACTAGTGTTGCACTTAAAAGGTGAATCTTTTGTAGTGGCTTATGATTTACTGAATTACCTTTTGTTTATCAATTAAATACTATTGCATATGCTAAAATACCAAGGTTATTGAGAACTAAAAGTGAGTAACAATTTGAATTTATTGCACAGAATTTAATAATACACTTATTTCAGATTACAGTCGTTGTTGTGTTCTTTCAAGTAAAAATGACCTAGAGATACACAATCAGTTGGAAATTTATTGAAACTGTTGAATGGATTTATCAAAGGGGAGGTATGGTGCGGTTTCACACCGATCTCGAAAGTATCAATGGAAGAGTGGTATTTAATCTAATGGTTGAGATGACCTGTACCAAGCAAATCCTTTCGTTGGCCAACGATTAAAAACGAAGGTCGTCTCGCAGTCCAACTGATTGAACAATATTGTATTCAATCGTAGTAATGTTTATCAGAATGTTGCTTTATTATTTTATAGCTAATTTGGCACTTTGGTGGTTCATCTATGTTCAAACTGGCACAACCTCCAACAACACTTCCGCATCAATCGAACCAGCTACCTGCTCCCTTCTCTGATAATAATTTATTTCCCCCAAAAGATACTGACTGTGACACTCTTTAAAAGAATTGTACCATTTGCTCAACAATGAAAATTAACAATGACTCTGTGTAAAATTCCAACACTACAAAAATCTTATTAAATAACTCTGAATTGCCCTATAAAAACATTTTTACCTATTCATTCTTAATACTATAGGGTTGTTACAATCTAATTAATAAAGCGGATTGCTACAATATGAATGGATGTGAAAATCAGTGATCTGAATTTGAACCTGTGAACATGTGCTTACTCTACATGAAATGACAAAACAAGACAGGAAAAATTTTCAAAGGTGCGACTCACTGAAATCTTAAATTAACAAATAAATAACACAAATTACTTACAGTTTGGACGTCCACAAATATGACACAAATAAAGGGGAAGGGATTGGGAAATGTAACTAGCCGGTATTCTACAAGACGCGATCAATTGAACTCGTGAAACGAACGTGTAATTTTCAAATGGCGGAACTGCGTTGGCCGGTAACGAACTTTTTCACTTTCTGACAATGACACTGATTCTAATTTCCAATCGCGGGGCAATTATATCCCTTAGGGATATAGGCTGTACGACTTTAAGGAAATTTAAGATTGCCCGACCAAACGCCGCGAAATGAATTTAATTTCCACGAACGAAAAACAATTTTACCGAACTAGCTACGATGAGATTTGGATAGGAACTGGCACTGCTGGAAGCAAGTGACCATCCGGCTAGACCTTATTCCCCCTCCTACTTTAGTGCGTGGTGCATTCTGGTCTATACTGATCTATTGTTTAAACCAGCTGACTGTTCTTCGCGTTACCCTGTATTGATTTGTTGCCTTTTTACAACAAAATCGGTACAAAAGATTATCTAACTCACCGTTCAACAGCTGAAGTCCCATCAACTTAATAGATAACGCTGCTTCATACTTCCCAGAGTAATTGTTACTATCAGAGATCTTACTTCCTTTCTGTTTCGCTGGCAAACTAAATTTCCTTGTATAACCTCTCCTGTAACATAAAATCAGTTGCAGCTTTTAAATGGTCTCTAATGAACTGTCACTGCCTAATCTTACTTTCACTTACTGACTTATCACACTTTTAACTTAAACGTGATAAAAATTAGACATATTCATAAAAAAATGTATCTGGGAATTTCAACTACAGGTAATGTTTAGGCTGTTATACCTCATTATTTTAAATATCAAAACCATCAACCCTTTTCTTCAACCCTTCCCAGACTAAAGGCGGATATATTTGCTATCATTTTGTGCATATCAGACGGTAAGCGGATATATCCGCCGATTATTACAAAATCTATTGTTGTAGTTGATTAACTACATTATACTTCGTAAAAACTGTCTTTTATTCAATTATATCGTTAACCATGTACAATGATTTTTCTAAAATAAAAAAAAAATCACAAAAAAACTATATATATACTAGCTGACCCGGCGAACTTCATATCGCCTAAGTTATAGGTTTCCCCTAAGACAGACCGATGGAAAGAAAGTACCGTTACGTTTAATTTTCAAGATGATCTCGTTTGCTTCGCTCAATCACGTCCTGGTTGAAGTTCGTTCGCTACGCTCACTCACCTTTGGGTTGGAGCTCGTTCGCTACGCTCACTCACCTTTAGGTTGGAGCTCGTTCGCTGCGCTCACTTGCCTTCAGGTTAGCTCGTTCGCTACGCTCACTCGCCTCCAGGTTGAAGTTCGTTCGCTACGCTCACTCACCTTTTGGTTGCAAATTAGCTGTTGTCATAAATGTAAAAGAAATAATAGTGCTGCACCCTGTTGGTAATCCTTGTAACTTTAATGCTATTGAACATCATAGAACAGAACCAACTTGTTTAATTGAAACAGCTGTTAAGATTCATTAATTCCATTTCTCATAAGGTTAACATGGGAAACTCCAGTGCCACTGGGGTGGAGCCCTTTTAAGAATTTCGAAACGGGAAATAGTTTACGTCCGATTCGCATACCTACAGAATTTACACACCAAATTTCATAACGATCGGTGAAGTCGTTCCGGAGGAGTTTGCAGACAAACACTGTGACACAAGAATTTTATATATTAGATTTTGGACAAAAGTGCTGCCTGCCTAAGTAAGCTATTTACAACATTCTATAAAGTACAGATATAAAAAAGATTTTTTAAAGTTTTTTTATTTTTTATCAATTTTGTATACATATATTATAGGCCATCTGGGGGTTAAGTTTATAAAACTAAAAAATCATAAATTTATTCATAAATGCATTGAGTTCAGGTATCTTGGCTCAGAAAATCATAATTCAGACTCATAGATTTTTAAGATAATTTTTCTTTATTAGGTTGGCGACTTTTTTTAACCTTGCATTTGCCCGTCCACATAGACTACAGATCTGTGCGTGGAACGTATCCAGCAAAGTCAGGTGTGAGCCGGTAAAGTACGAAGGTGAACTGTACTGATAAAATGTTTGCGGCAGTGACCAGAATCTGACCCCACAACAACGCTGCCTTGGGTCCGAAGTCCGTGACGCTACCAACTGAGCCACCAAATCACCTACCTAATTAATAATGATTAACACAGGTAATAATATTTTTTTGCCTTCTTCAGGGAGTAATATTATTAAATAAAGGGCACATTTCCTTGTGCGTAATATTTTTCCCATCCAACAAAAATAATGTAATTTTAACACAAACCCATCAGATTGTACTAACCCTGTTTGACGTATATTGGTTCTGGTATGAAGAACACTGTCTGCTTCCAGTGAGTAGGTTTACTCGTGGGACTGGTGGAAAATGAAATAGCATTTGGCAGATCAAAGAAGACATCAAAATATCCTACAAGTGCTGTCAGTTGAGTTTCACGACTGGCGACCAATGTGAAATCTGAGCTGAAGTCCATACAGTCTGGGCCGACGGTGAGCAAGTCCAACACACACAGTTGCGCTGCTGTGGTGGCGACACTGTCTGGGGGCACGACACATGTCCGTGGTTCCCGCACAACATCGCCTCTTAAACTTGACATCTTGAACCCATAGACATTGGACCAAAATCCTAGCATCTCCGCATGCTTGCCTATAACAAAGGATTTGAAAAAGTTTAATTTTAAATTTATTTAAATTACTAATGTAATATAGAGCATAGGTTTTAAGATTTTTTGGACAGTAGGCTTAGGAATGGGAAAAAAGAACATCCTCACACCAATAAACAAAAGCTTTACTCTCTTTTTCCTGATAAACCGTAATGGGATTAAGCCGGTTGCGGCTTAACCGGGACACATTCTAGGAAAACTATGTAAAATTTAATGTCTTAATTCAACACAAGCCAATGCTTTTAAACTGTAAGTCGATGGTTTTTTAAACTGCATGGTCATTTACTCGTAAGTAGAGGATGTAAATAAACCATTAATCATCGTCTCCAGCCGGGCCCAGGTCCTCTCAAGGTCATAGACCCTCCCCTCTTACACTTCCTGTTTGCAATACAATGCACTAATAACAGACAAAATTGTGTAAGGAAACATGAAAGTGGAATCAAAAAGATGTATTACTCTGTTCAAAAACGGAAAACTGTTGGATTATTTTCAAAGAAATCAATTCACGGTAGTTTTTGGCTTGTAATAATATTTTATCTTAAAAACTATTCACAAATGTCAAGTGCTCAAATGCGTGTGTTATCCATTGTTATTCCTGTCAAATATAACATTCAGTTATGTTTTAATCCAATATAAACATTTTGGTTACTATTTTTAACATATTTACTGTCTTAATACCGTCTTGTATTTGAATACCCTTTACAATTTTATGTATCCGGGAAGCCTCAACCCTACTTTATTCCGGTTAATCGGGAGTTGAGTGTACATCAGACAGAAAAATTAGAGTATTTCACCAACAATAATTTTAATCAAGAAAGGTTGTAGTTGAGAAGAAATCTGTCTTCAGGTTCAAACTTCTTGACAACCATTGGACTGGACTGAAGCCTTCCTTCTTAGGATTTAAATAACGTCAGTTACAGTTGAATATTATTGTTGTATACAGTCTAAACTGTTTGTAGCAGAATTGAATTCCTAAGAGCTTGCAATCCCCCCTACAAAAAAAAAACATTTCATTTTCTAAATTCTTCTCACCAGGGTCAGCTACAGCAACAAGGCTCATTGAGCATCTGTTGGGCAACAAGAGTCCACCGGGTCTGAGGTGCTTGTCTCTGGCGTGGATCACACTGTCCAGCATGGCCTCAAACAGTAGAAAGTAGCCCATCCACTCAGAGACTATCACATCTACCTGTGACACACCACATATAGATTTAGTCAAACAAATACTAGGTTTTGTAACATTAATATTTCAGTAACATTGCTATGTCAACACGATTACTTGAGTAAAAATCATTAGAATTTGATGGAATTGTACAAATATGTAAATCTGTGTTCATTTTAACGAATTCCCGAAACAAAGCTTGTAGATGTTAAAGCTTTGTTGTGCACTAAACAATTATGGATTTTGTAATAAACAGTACTCGTTCCACAAGGCTGGGAACCTAAGAAGAAGAAAACAGGATGAAGTAAGAAATACGTGTGTTTCAGATTTAATTAAGCTTTCTTGGCTGCACAGGCAGAGTTGATGACCTTAATTTTAAGGACAACCCTCATATGTAAATGGTAAAAATATGAACAATGCAAAACTAAAACTACACAAGTTTGCCTAAAATGAAAGTTTGAATTATAAAAGCTTACCTTAGCCTCAGGCAGTTCTGTGTCTTCTATTCGTCCTTTCACAAGCATGATGCGGTCATTCAACCCATTTTCTCTAAACAAACAACAATATGAAAATGTTAACAATATTGTTACATAATGTTTTGGGTTGGTAAAATTGAAATAAAATTTATACTCAAATATTCATCTTCTTTAGCATATGACAAGTTAGTAGTAGCTATTCTTCGAAACACATTCCAAAGTAAGTAGTTACTTACTTACTTTTTAAAATGTTTAACTACACCATATTGTTGGTTTATTGCGGTGTCCAAACCATGATGAAGACATGGATGATACATGTTATTGAGCAGTAGTGCTCCTATCAGGTAGAAAGAGCTGGTCTATTGTTAGAGCACAGGACTTCAGTCCCCAAGGTGCCGGGTTCAAATCCCGCCAATCTCCATCCAAGATATAATGCCACAACTTCTAGGACTAGCCTGAAGTAATGTGTAAAACAACAAGAGCCTAGTAAAAAAAGACGAGTGCTCCTACCTGACAATGTCCATCGCGTGGTAGATGATGTCCGATTGATCCACAGCTATTACTCTAGAGGCCCCAGCCTGGGCAGCAAACATACTTAAGATGCCAGTCCCGCAGCCAAGGTCCAACACTGTCTTGCCTGCGATGGTCGCAGAGTTGCGACACAGTGCATCTCGGTAACTCTCAGTCCTCACTGTATCCTAATCAAAAACACGGAACAACTTAAGAAATGCCATAATTCACCCTATGCTTCTTGTTTTTATAGCCACTCAATGTTCATTAATGTTGTAAAATTGATATTATTAAATGTGAATATTTATTCATAGATGTATTTAACTGTTTCAACATATATTGATAAAAAAAATGATTCCACATGCAACATCCGCGATCCTCTCCAGTAATGATTTAAACTTTTGTCACTTCATTTTGGCAATTGCGTCTACATCTGAGATTGAGATCATATCGCAATCCCGGCCAAATACGTAATGATTTCCCGCAATCGCGGTATCAGCCGTGGGTATTTCTTGCGATCGAAGAAATGTCAGTTATTTGTGATGTTTCTCGCGATTATGAATTTCATATAAACAAAACAAGAAAATTCGGTGATTTTGGGTGTATTATTCAAGCATTTAAATTTCCCAGTACAAAATTTACATACAATTTACAGATTTTTTCCCAATCATCAAAATTCAGGTACAATTTCTGGGTTTTTCCGTTTATAAGTCGGCTGCACACAATGTGATACATCAATCGTTTGACTATTTTGTGTGATTAAACTATTGTACGTTTCTAAAATTTTTAATAATATCATCAACCCAGAGATTGACTTGTGTGTGAACCGCAATATTGGATACAAACAAGAATCAAATTAGTCACATTTTTAACAAATTAATAGCGAAACTTCCATTAAATAAATTCATGCAAAATAAACCACTCCGGCCCTAGAGATGAATTCTAATTTTGGCTTAACTGGGGACAAAACAGGAATGTTTACAGGATACATTAGGGTTCTTTTTCTAACAGACATCCATACAACCCTCTGTGGTCAGAAAGGCTATTTTTAGGTTGTCGTAATCGGTTGGGTGGCCAGTTGTACTGGTCACAGACTTGTACACAGCAGATTGTTTAAATTCAAGTATCCCTTACCGCTCAAATGGACAACAGTACTGGCCAACATAAAACACTCAAACAATAGGAAAGCACTGGCCAAGTAACACACTTTTTACAAATCTGTTTGTATGTCTTCTGATGGTATACCAAGTAAACAGGGGGTTTAGGGTGTTTTTGAATGGCATAATTTTAAAGGTCTAACTAGTATCTCAATATTCAACAATCTTTGGTTTTCAAAGAAGTTTACGAATTATATCTTCAATAAACAAATTGTTGATACAAGTTAACTATTATAACACTGGAAAGAAAGTTATTTTAACAAACTTTTAGCACAGAAAAAAAAACCAGTCCTAAGTGGAATAAATTGATTTGGTCACTGATGACACCGGAAATAGTCCGGCAGAATTGACCCGAACCTGGTTTTGTCCTATTAAGTTTTTAAGTTAATTAGTTATTAGTTTTTAGTTATTAGTTTTTAAGTCCTATTAAGATTTATTAAGTTTTTTTTATTGTTGATATGTGATATCTAGGGTAAGTAGACCCTAAAACCACCGGGTACTTTTTTGGTACCCTTGGGCAACAGTGCATGTTATTTTAAAATGTTTATGGTTAAATTCCCTACTCAGAAATACCATATATTAAATATTTATAATTTGTTTTAAGGTCAGTATTACTTTTCAAATTTTTTAATTTATAAAAAATAATGTCATATTTATTTTTATTTCAATTTTGCGCCTTAATTACTCATAATATGGCTATAATATATATTATAAAGTTTGTAGAGCTTTAAATTTGGCATCGGATACATCTATGGGATGTTTTGTTGGATCAAGGGTAATGCCAGAACAAAGTGTTAGAAGATATTTTTTTTATTGATTTTCAATGAAAAATAAGGATATTTTATATGTTTAATAAATTGTAACATCTTTCCTGAGACCATCTGCCACTTCTCTCTGGCTGTTTTTGGTATTAAAATGTTTGTAAAATTACCAAATTTAATTTGAACTATTAACTGTTTATATTTAAGGACTTTAAGGCCGATCTATTCATCTTCACTCCAAAGAAACAATAATTTTTCAAAAAGAAAAGTTTAAATTTTGACCAACCCATTGAGTTATTATTATTAGATGTTGTATGTATTGCAATAAAAACACTCAGTAAACAATTGGCATCCATTTGACATGATCACTGAAATCGAACGAGACGGAGGTGAATTACAAGACTTCAACCATAGTACAGTAATATGTTTTCTGTGCTTCAACCGACAAAGATTTTAATGGTTGTATAATTTTCTTTGAAAAAAGATTGTTACCTCGAGTACTAATTATGCGATGTTATGTTTTTTTTATAATAAAATACTCAGAAAACTACTGGCTTTCATTTGAGGCATTGGTCATTCAAATCTATCGGGTTTGAGGGGATTTTTAGAACTTCAACCAAATAACATTTTAGTTTTTCCAAAATTTGTCTTTTATTAAAGATATAATTACGTTTTATGAAATGTTATATACTATGAATACTCAGTGAGTTACTGGCTTTAATCCAAGCTATTGACTATTAAAATCGGCTGAGTTGAACATGAGTTGTGGACCCCAAACAAAAAAAAATTGATTTTTTTTACAATTTATCTTTAGTTAATGATTGTGTCTCAAGTTATTTTTACGTGATATTGTATGTTGTGGTATGGGAATACTCAGTGAGTTAATGCGTGCGCAATAACTATTTCACTTTAAGTCACACTTAATTTTATCAATCTCAAATCAACTCTCTTGTAAAATGGCGTTTGCCGTGCATGTAATAAATAAATAAATAAATAAAAAATGCGGTTCTTTTCAGCTATTATTTATTGCAATCTGACGTGTTTGGGGCGAGTTATAAGCTTAAACGTAGAATAAAAGTTGTTTTTTCTTAACTTTCTTCTGTATTTAAAGACATATTTCTCAGCTGCTATGTGTACTATGTTATTCGTTCTGGTCTAAAAACACTAGGCCAACTTAGAACTTTCATTTGAGACAATTTTCATTTAAATATGTAGAGCTTAAGGTGAGTTGTAGACCTCTAACTAACATTAGGTTTTCAATTTTTAAGGACTGTCTTTTATTAAAGATCTATATCTCAAGATCAAAAATGAGCTGTGTGGATATTCATTTTGGTGAAGAAAACCTCAGAAAGCTATGGGTAAACTCAGATATGAACCTAACCTGGTTTATTCCTATCAAGTTTTTTTTTTTTGTTGCGTTTGGTATACACCAGTGAACAGAATTGAAAAATATGTAGTTGCGTGAGCTCAGGCTTACCTTGCACAGTATTTTGTCATTGTGGATATAATACCTGTTTAAATAGAAAAATACAAACTCAAGACGTCAGTGAAGACTACGACAATGTAGAATAATGAGTTAATACCCCCGCTGCAGCAAACCTGACGAATAAGCGAATTTCCGTTTGCCTGGATTAATTTTCAATTAATCTATTAAATTCACATTTATGTTTAACAAGTACCTAGGTTTGCTGCTAAAGGGAAACTAATAAAGTGTATTTTTTTATTAAAATATTAATAGCTTAGTATAGAATAAATAAATCTGCCAAGTTTGATCAAAATATATAAAAAAAACAAGCCAACTAAAACATTTTACAATATTCTCCATAAGAATAACATGGGATTTTAAATGAACTATTTTTTAAATTTTATATATATATTTGAGCGAAAGAGTGTTTTTAGCCTCTGGGGACATCAAAATTATGTAAAACGGTCCCGGGCCTAGGTCTTACCATGAGACCTACAGTAATAGCTACTTCCCTATAGAGAAAACGCTAAGGTTACTCACTAAGGTTAGTCACTAAGGTTACTGAAACGTTATTTACAAGTTATTTCTATATGTAGGCCTATTATGTAAGTTACAATTTTACATTAATAAAATATTTATGTTACAATACAAAATAATAAAACTCAACTATGTTGAAATCGATTTTATTAATTTTGTTAACTGCCCTGTTGTATTGTCTTTTTTCAATGTAACGCAAATACTCACAAGCATAGCCACAAGTGCTACGGGAATTCAGTTAACTTCAAAATCGAGTATTATTATTACATGCCATAATAATGATGTAAAGAATGTGTCTTGCTAGTAACTTATAGAAGCTCAGGTTTAATTTGGTAAAACTTATATTTTGTTCGCTTATATGTAACACTAAAACAAGGTCGTATAACAAGTTTTTTTTTAATTGGGCAAAAAATGTCATTCTTAAAGATAAAAACCACGTTTTCCGCCACCGGTTTGAAACAGCTTTGATATGGCTAATATCTGGTAAATTTATGAGTAACATTATAACGAGGTTTCATACTAAATTTCACGACATTCGAACTACAAACGCATAGTTTATAGCTTAATTACTATGTTTTAAATTAATCGATTTATTTATTAATATGGACAATTATTATCCCAAATTCTAGAAGTTGCCCAAAGGTACTTTGTAAGTACCCGCTATTTTCTGCATCTATATACTACCAAAATAAAATATCATCAGTAAAAAAACGTAATAGAACAAAACAGGGTTCAAGGAAAATTCCCTGTTTGGTTGCCGGACTATTCCCAATTTACAAACCAACAAATTACAAGTAAAAGTATTGATTGATGTTCTATACCTAAAATGTTTTGAAACCCAATAATTAATATTTTCTATGAAAGCCAGTACCGACTGTTTTCATATAAATACATAAAACATAACATAACCACTAAAGATATAGGGCTTTGATGAGACTTTTTTTATAATTAAAATTACTCTTTTTGGTGGGTCCATAACTAGCTACATCCTATGATTTGAATTATAATTAACGTAAATGAAAGCCATTGGTTTATTGAGCATTTTGATACAAAAAACAGTAGAAAAGAACTACAGAATATTCTTAGGAAGAATTATATCAATTATTTTCATTTATTAGATACCCCTCTTTGTCATAGAAAAAATAAATACCCCCGCCGCAGCAAACCTGCCGTTTAAGCAAATTTCCATTTGGCTGAATTGATTTTCAATCGATCTATTTAAATAACATTAGGTTTAACGAGTACCTAGGTTTGCTGCTACAAGGAAACTAATAAAGTGTGTGTTTTAAGTAAAATAATTATTGCTGAGTAGAAAATGAATATATTTGCCAAGTTTGATCAAAAGATATCCATAAACAAGCAAACTACAACATTTTACAATATTCTCCATAAGAATAACATGGGGATTTTAAATTTATAATTTTTTTAGTTTTCTCCGTAACCAATAACCGAACAAAAACACTTTGATATACTGAATTGTTTGTTTTTTTGAGCTCTTTAAGAAGGTTTAGAGAAAAATTGAAAAATTTTGTGTTTTGAGGGTCAAAAGTGAGAAAAACCAATTTTTACCCCATAAAACCCCCCATAAAACCCTGTTCCCATGGTCCGATCATGCTGGATCGCGAACTCATTCAAGTTTATCCCGCCTTACACCTTCAAACCAAATTTCATCAAAATCGGATAAAAATTACTCAAGTTATCGTGTTCACGGACACATATATATATAAATCTATATATATATATATACATATATAAAAATTTGAAAGAAAGGTGTTTTTGGCCTCTGGGGACATCAAAATGAAAAAGTAAATCGGTCCCGGGCCTAAGTCTTACCATGAGACCTACGGTAATAGCTACTTCCCTATAGGGAAATTCGCTAATAGGTACAAGTTATTTTTTACACATTGTTGTGACGTTATCATTAATCCAACAAAGATCCCTATAGGTGTATTGGATGCACAATTTTAAGATCTACAACTTTTGTAACATGTATCATGGCTTTTTTTTCAGAGATTTTAGTACAAAGTTGAAAAAAGTAGGGATAGAACATATTTTTTATCTAAATGATTAACTTTAAAAAGAAATACTGGCTTTAAAACACACAATATATAGTTAAAATATGATATTTTCCTGCATAGAATTTCACTGTGAGTATTTTAAAAGTGTTTGCACTGCTGTAGGTAGCATGGCATATTCATAACATAGTTTTAAGTAAAAGCTTACACTGTAAATTACGTTTTAAGATGGCGGCTATTGCCCAAGGGTACCAAAAAAGTACCCGGTGGTTTTATGGTCTACATACCCTATATAACTCAAAACAACAATAAAAAAAACTTAATAGAACAAAACCAGGTTAGGGACAAAATCCTCATTTGGCTGCCGGACTAAAACCAAATATCCAATACATTAAGTAATGACAATCTGTGTTTTGAACCTACAGAGAGCATCTCATGGTGAATGCCAAAGTGAGCGTAGGTGTTGAAGTATTCCTCGTCATCTTCTAGTCTGATGTCTGCTACGTGTTGGTTCAGTAGATTGTCCCCTCCAGCCCCTGTTGTACCTACGACTACTTCTCCGAGTGTCACCTTCATACGCTGCATCTCACTCATCAGCTGAGATATAGCTTCATCCTTGTCTTTGATCTGCAACAACATACAACAGTCAAAACAACTACAGGACATTAGTATAGTAATATAGGTAGTTTAGTATAGTATGCAGAATCTAGTATTGCAGAACAATGAATATGCCACCATACAATGCTAGATGATTTTGTTTGCAATTGTTAGCCGTGGCATTTCATGTTCAAATTTTTTGTCTTGCTTATTGGTTCTGACAGACACTCAACTTGGATGGATGACTGATGTTTTTGTTACACTTGGAGATGGTTTTTAGTAGTAGTCTGAAACTATAATTGTGTTACTACTAACCCGGGATCGCTTGACAAAGCAAGGTAACATAAAACATTTAACTTATATATTCAGTAATTCAGAGGCCATTTTGCCATTAAAAAGTTACAAGATCTAACCTTTTACAAAGTTTATTCCCTTGGTTTTTATTTATTGTGTTTTGTTTCAGTTGTTTTAGACAGCCTATGGTGAACCAAGGGTTTGTGGAGCAGGATATGTTTCACAGGTGCAGTCTTATATTACTATCGGAAGAGTTCCACAGATGATTGACAGAGTTCCATAAATAGTCAATGGTTCCATTGATGAGGACTAGGGAGGCCTATTACGACAATAAATTGCCTTTAATATTGTAAATACGAAAAAATTCAATATTGCTAAGCTATTCATGTAAAAAACCGTGTTAATTTTATTCCAAATTTCACGTTAATCAGTTAAAACGTTTACATAGGCGTATTTTGATTTGAAATAATAAAGAACCGTGAGTAAACTGCGAAACGTTGACTGAAAAGTTATAAGAGAAACCACAAAATTGTAGTGTGTTAATTGTCTTTACGGAAAGTAAATAACACTTAAAACATATATTTACGCTAATACTGTTACTCACAAGACGGTAAATATACAAAAAAGATGGTAAGTGGTGATCAATTTCGATTGGACACTCCAATCATCATCAGACCCAATAGGCGAATGAAGGTCAATGCTGATCAAGAAGTTATTTAATTGTATTTGTAAAGAAAATTACAAATTGCATTGAGCTTCCTAGTTCCCTTTAGTGTGAGACTAGTCAACCAGCAGGCACCAATGAACTGAACAGTACCCGGTTTAAGACACAGACCCAACCCTTGCTTCACCAAGCTGTCCAGAACTATGGAGTCTGACCTGTGCATTGAGAGTCTGTATGGTTCTCTGCAGCTCGGCGAAGTGTAGCTCAGACAATGTCACTCTGCCGTCCTCCGCATTCACATGGTAACCTGTAGTAGGAATGTCTGTACTGGGTAGTGCTGGTGCCTCCTCCAGATCTTCAAAGTCTATATCATCAAACCTCTATAAACATGTGGCTCGATTTAAAATATGTTTGAAATTTTAGATAATATTATTATTTTATTTTTATTTAGATTCTTTATTTCAGGATAATTGGTTTTAACAATGTTTTCAGGACTTTTTAGGATCTGTAATGATCCTGTCCTCAGGTGAGAAGTATTTAAAACATTAATAATTAATGTATGAATAATAGTAGGCCTATGTCTTCAACGACAGGCGAAGCTGGAAGAAACCTGTAATAATACCCCCACTGGAGCAAACCTACAGACTAAGCAATTTCCATTTGACTGATAGATTTCCACTAAAATATTTTCTTAAAATAATTTATGCTACAAGGAAGGTAAGTAGGCCTATGTGAGGTTTTTAGTGAAATGTCAATAGCTTAAGCTTAGCATGAAATAAATGAATCGGTAAAATCTGATCAAAATGTATGTCCATAAACAAGCAAACTACAAGAAGTTAAGGAACCATCTACCTGACTACCTGAGAGACCTGACTGGCAACAAGCTACACCAGGAGTTTTAAGAAGTGGCTAATCGCAAGACCCTTCTACTCAATAAAGGAATTTTATGAAAATTATGGAAATTAACACGTACAATTCACTATTGTATTGATACTATTGTAATTCTTAACGAATTAACAATAAAGAAAATTGTATTGTATTGTAAGGCCTACTTATTCTCCATAAGAATATATTTTTTTTTATTTACTCCCTATTTCATCCTCATGTCAAAGTTGTGTTTAATCAAAGCATATGTAATACACGTGAGCGACAAACAGTGCACTAATGTAAATCACTGTTTTTTGACAAATATGTGAGATTTCCAACCAAGTCAAACTGGATGATTTATAAGTTATAGCATGTCCCATCAACTATCTCAGAAACAAAGAATAAGGAGAAAAATAACATTTTAGACACCAGCGCAGTCTATGACTGATTCACAGAACTATTAATTTTTAATATTCTATATATAAATATTTCTACTTCACTATAATAATAACGGTGGTATTTACCAAACATAAGCCAAGGATCCTCCCTGTTGACAGGTGTGAGGTATTTGTTGTCAGTCCAGGGAGGTACTTCACTGATATGCAAACTCAACACCTGTTCACACAACGGCCGCACAGTCCGTAAGTAGTTCACCATCTTGATAAACGAGTAACAGTCCATATTGTGCTTTTCCTACAAAATATTGTAAATTATGTTTAGTGTATTGAATTAAGTGAGGATTCTCATCGTAGTAAGTAATAATGGCAAAGTCATTAACATTTTTTTTTTTGCAGTGGCAGTTTATGAAATATGATTTTACTTTAAATGGCTTTGTCAAAATGCATTAGGTAAGCTACAAAGCGAGGACTACTTGTGATATTTTCATAAGAGTATGCTTAGTTTTCCATGTTACAACATGATTAGAGGGAATTGGAATTAAAGTACTGTATGTTTAGAGCATTATAGGTTTGAGAGAATACTAGAGTTCTCACTATGTAAAATCAATTTTTTTTTATATACTTCATACAACTAGCCTACGCCAAGCTGAAGGCTATATATTTTATGAATATCCATCAAATCGTATGAAGCTGTTAAATTGTTCCTCATTAATTTAAATTATGTAAAAATTTTGATTTAAAAACAACTTGCTCTTTGTAACATTGTTTACTATGAGTAGTATTAACATTCAAATGTCAATTGAGGTGCCGGTAGCCTATGGATAAATTTGGTGGCTCTTCAAAAATTAACAGGTGTTTCATCAATAAAATAATAAATGCAGAAAGGTACAGTGGCTAAAGTTTTACATTTTGGAAATGACACATAACTTAAGGGCTATTAGTAAATATTTTACATTCAACTTTAAGCTTAAGAGTCCTTGGAGCCTAGACATTTTAACTCATAAAACAATTTAAAAACTACAATGAAAAATTATAATCCCACATTATACTAGATATTTAAATAACAATCACTTTGGTATCCGAACAAAAATATACACTTTGGTATCCGAGATGGTAAATAACTCTTCATAGGCTGTTTGAAATTAACAAAATTAGCATTGCTCTCATGGCGGGCATATCCAAGATGGCCGTTGGCTTACATGGACTCCCTTGGAAAACAATTAAAAACTACAAAGACAATTTCTAATCCCTCAGTATATTAGACATTTGAGTTATAATCACTTAAGTGTTTGAAAAAATATTGTTGGATGATAATTAACTCTTCAGCAGCTGTTTAAAACTATCCAAGATGGCCGCTAACTACAGACCTTTAACCCTCTCAGTGTTACTTGACGAAAATTCGACAAGCAGCACACTTTGTGTAGTGTTACTTGTCGATTTTTCGACACGCAGACATCGTTTACGGCGAAGGCTCTATGACTGACTGAATCGGATTGAACTGGATCGAGTTAGGTATCGTTCTTTCCGTAATATTCTAAGCTTTCTCCAGAGGTCTGTCTCTAAGCGCTATTCATTTTAGTTCCGAAAATATTGTAGCAGACAGCTGACGTGCGTGTATTTGTAAACAGCTAGGTTCCCCCGGACCGATGACTGATGTGTTTTATTACGTTTATCATTGTTTTAGTGTTAAAAATCAAAAGTAGTGATATACGTGGTGCATTATAAGAAAATTTAAGTGGTTTTGAAGTGCTGGTTGATGATCCTGAAGAAGTAGGTAGTGATATTGATGTAAATTATCAGCCAGATTCCTAGCTATGGTTAGGCTATGCATTCTTAGCTAAACGCTATGTACTGAAATCAGTTTTTTGCCCATAACTTATTTATTTGCAAATCTACTTCCTTATATTATTATATATTTGTAATCCTCATAAAATTTAGAACAAAGTGGCTATTTTCAAATATTTATAGGCCTATAATTTATACAATTTCATTGAGCGCGAACTTATTTTTTTTTTTGAAAATTTTTGAAATTATATTTTTTTTACCTAAAATTTTTTTTTTTTTTTAAATGTTCCTTATGTTTTATATATAATATTGAAGCCCATGATTTTCCAAACAAAATGGTATATAGAATATTAGAATTAACATTGTTTTAAGCTTCTCAGATCCGTTTTAATAAAACCTTGCAAATGCGCCAAAAATAGGTGGACATTAAGGCCCAAACTATGGACACTTGGAGGGTTAACTTAAAACAATATTTAAAATTTCCACTATTTTGCTTTGTTTTTTTAGGCTATAGTTCATTAGTAAAAGAGGGTGAGGTTCATAATGTCCAAATTTCACAAACTCCAACGTCTAAAATATTAAATAAACAGTGCGTTTCATAACCTCCAAACTTCATAAACTCCAAAACTATAACTTCCAAATAAGCACAGTTTCACAATGTCCAAATTTCACAAACTCCAACGATAATATATTAAATAAACAGTGCGTTTCATAACCTCCAAATTTCATAAAATCCAAAACTATAATTTTCAAATAATCACCGATTCACAATGTCCAAATTTCACAAACTCCAACTTTTAAATATCAAATAAACAGAGCGGTTCATAACCTCCAAGTTTCATAAGCTCCAACGGTACAGTCTCTGCCATAAGTCAATCGGGATACCGAGGCGGACGGGCCGAATGAACCTCTCTGTTTTACACAAACATACATTCACTCAACCTGCTCTGCTGCACTTATTTGTTAACATAAAAATTTCAAATTGATATATTATTTTTCTGGAAAAACCAGTGCTCATTACTATGTAGCTAGTTTTTACCTTAACATAATTGTTATAATTTATTTAGGCAAATTAAAACAGATGATTGTTTTTTAACACCATAAAAAACATGAAAAATGTAGTAAGCGAGGAACTTTTTTTATTTTTTGGTCAGGAAAAAAATCCTGCTGCAAAGTTTTAGATCAAAGAATGAATTTTATTTTTTATTTGAAGCTTTTTTTGATACGGAGCCTGCTTGTATCATTTTTAAGCGATTAAAAATAGGCCTAAAATCGCTTGGCGCGGCATTGGCGCTAGGAGTTTGGCCGGCTCAGCATCAGTTTGCGGGATATAGAAACTGAGTTTCTAGCATTTAATCATCATTATATTTATTACATCAAATATGTCATTACATTACGAAGAATGGTAACTTAATTTACAGGCGTATGTTTGTGCATTTTAATGCTTACCGGTAGTCTATAGTTAACAAAATTTTTTGATATAAATGCTTTCCCGATTGTAATTTCGGAAATTGTCTTCGTGAAATGTGGAGATAATTTAAGTTCTTGGTAAAACCCACTGAATTAGCGACCTGGCCCAGTTATTATTTCTACTTTTATTCTCCTTTCGTTAAGGTAAACTAAATTAGTGTAAATGCATCCCTTTGACTAAACTTTACCCTAGATTTGGTTCTGGTCCAAATAATAGAAACAAAAATAGAAACTACTCTTATTCTAAGTTTATGTGGTGGAATTCCTGCTAAAAGTGCGATTGACTTTACATTCTATCGAAATAGGCCTATTTAAAACGTTCAGCGGGTTCATAGTTGAGACCATGGTTGAGACCACATTACAATACCTATTTATTTGTTTCTTCATCCTCTTTAGCCATTTAGTTGTTAGATAGTATTACATGTTATATTCAATTGATATATTATAATTTTATTTTAAAACATTTAACGAGTTTATATTCATCTATATTTGAAAAAGCTAATCAACGGCTCACGACTAACATTTTTGCCACTGCAGTGCATGGTTAGGGTTTGATTACCCATTTGTCGAAACCAATCACGAAATTACGTTTCTCCAGCATTGACATGCATATAAAGAAAAGGAAACTACCTCAAAATATTATTGTTATAGGTTTTGCCCTGTACTTTATTCATACTATGCATGCTAGTCTATATGATCTTAACCCCTTTTCCTTTTTGAAACAGAATGTACCTAGTTAAAACCTTCTCCAAACAAAATTAATAAATCCCGCTCACTGGAACTTGTCATAGTAATTGCTTTAGTGAAAAAATATATTGTCTCTACGAACTTTTTTAGTTTAATTCTCAGGTTAGTTCCAGAGTAGCCGTTGAGGTCATTCCACTTTAAACAAAATATTGATTAAACACTAAAGTAAGCGTCAAATGTTCATGTCTATGCTTCAACTGTATTTTGTATTTTAACTGTATTTTAACTGTATTTTGTGTAACAGAAACGTTTAGAATATATCATCTCATTATAATGTTTTTGAAATAAAAACAAAGCAGGAGTTTTCCATTTAATATTGAATCCATAATTAATTAGTGAAAGTGGCTATTGATTGTTAAACATTCCTTCAACACAATAATACGCTTGAAATATGAAGACATGTAAACAAAGTAAAATAATTTTGTAGACTTCGTAAACATATGTTTTAAAATGAAAATACCCCCGCCGCAGCAAACCTGCAGTTGCGTTACATACATTACATACACTCCAGCCAGCTGTTATCTTATTCTTAATGTATTGTTATTGCCTATTCGTGGTTCAGGAAATAAAACATGACATTTGTAGTTTATTTTATTTATCGATATTACTTTTATATAATCAGGTATATTGACAGTATGACCTATCACCTAACTGTCCTGTTCACCTGTTTGGTCCTGTTAGGAATCAAAGAAGTCTAGAGTTAACAAAATACTGTACTAAGGCAGAATTTTGTGGAGTGAATTAAAATATCAGTAACTAGTCAAGCGGATGTACTATAAATCCGTTATGGACGGGCGTGAGAAAAAAATAATGAAGGTCAACAAGGCACATTCTGGCGCCAAATATGAAGCACCCGAAAAGTCGCAAATGTACACAACATACTTAAAACAGTGCGCGCGCGTGAGCTTTTTACTATTCTCTTGGATACAGGTTCTTTTCCTGATTATCGTATGATATTATATCAAAACTTAAATATAATTTTTCAAGTCCTCTGCTCATAGATACTACGCACTATGTTCAAGTTGAGATAATCTTCGTCCTCTACTGTTAGACTCACACAATCAACAACAATTTTATCATGAATTATTTCGCTTATTTTTTTTTTATAAATAAAATCGATATTCAATCCTTTAACTCGTATTTCAGTAGATCAAGACCAGAGATAATGTTCTCCATCTCTAAGTAGTTGTTTTTTCAATTGGTAAATTTAATTTAAGAATTACTAGCTCTTATGTTTGCTGTTGTTTTACTAAATGCGATGCATTTTTTCATTGTAAATTAGGCACAGTTTAT